GTGTTTATCTGCAGTTAGTTACACGAATTTAGATATGAGATGAAATCGGATAGGGATGAAATCGTTTAGGGATGAACATGTTTAAGAGTTTTTAAGAGTTCTAGGCAAAATGCTTTATAAGATAGTATAGATATATAATCCTAATTAACACATTTTAAGTAACGTTGAAATTGTCGGATTCAATAATCTCCCAAATACATATCTACAATTCAACACACTGCAAATATATTGACTTTCAGTCGATCGTCTTAATAGCATACTTAATTGAACTTTTAATTAAGTTTATATATTCACCGATCATGCTTTTTTATATAGACGTTATAATAAGTTACGAAACAAAATAGTGAACAAACTAATAAAATTTAAGAAGTAGATCCTCTTATTAATATGACATTTTTTAAATATGTTTTACTAAGTTACATCTTAAAAAAGTTTCATAAAACACTTTCCAATACAACTACTAACTGTCAGTTATAACTCAATCCTATAAAAACCCAAAAATATTAACATACAACAATTTTGTATAATTTATTGAGATACAACTCTAAAATCATAACTCCAAAGTGAAAGTAATGAAAAACTCTTGTGGCTTCAAGAATCTGATAAATGGTTAGATGTAGAGTAGAAACATATGTATTGTATTCGTATGGAAGTTAGGCTGGGAATCCCACCGGATCCGGAGGGAGGGGGGGAGTCACTGCTTTCAAGGCCCACAACAATGGATCAGATATGATGTTGAAGTTTGTAACCTACTTCAATCCATCTCTAAATCCCAACTTTATAAACCTTAAACTTACATCATTTTCATGAGTTTCATCTGTTATATCTTTTCTTTCTAGAACGTATCCACAAACATAATGTTCATGGCTTGACAGACCTAAATGCGCGTATAAACACTTACGTAGATATTTTAATGGGTATGTGGTCATCATCTTTCCGTTTTTATATCTATTTTTGTTAAGTATTTACAGTTGACGATTGAAAATCTTTTAAACATCAAGAAGATGATACGATATTACATCTTGTTGAATGGGTTAACTGACTCTAGATATGAATCATTTCCTCATGTACAAAATCAAATACAGAATAGAACCAACATTTAAGTGAATTTTATCTCTGAAAAATGGATTTGATATGCATATTACGAGACCAAACAAGGTCTAGGTATCAAACAATCGAAGTCGGCCTTTTTCTCTTAATAATACTTTTGAATAAATTAATTAAAAGTTGTTTTATAACAAATAACGGAATTGAAATCGAAGTCGGCCTTTTTTCTCATAGACGCAGACAACCTTTGGCGTGGGCTAAGTCGTAGAACACGTCGTTCGTACATCACAGGGTCCCCTCACGCGTATTATCACATGTGATAAGGGTGTTCTCGTAAAATGGAGGTGTTCTCGTTTGAACCTCCACCTATATGTATATGTATATGTGTATATGACATGAAATCATAAGAAATGGAGGCAAAGTACCAAAGAAGTCCTACTTTTGAGTACTCCACTTGATTGCTTGGTAGTTGAAGGGACCAAGAAGTATGCAAAAAATGGAAATTGGGTTTAAAGACTCTTTAAATGAGTGTAGCAAAAGAGGCATACAAGTCATAAATAACCACAACACCACCATTTTCTGATGCATCCATATCACATTAACAAAAAGCAATCATATGCAAGATTTCTGAAATCAATAACTTGCAACCAAAAATAAAGGCAAATTAATTCAAGATCATCATCACCAACTTAACTTTGGATATCTTGTTTTCAAAATCTTCACAAACAACTGAAACTCCAATCATTCCATCTTCCCATAAATACCCTTTTCAATTCTTATACGAAATTAAACCAAAACGAATATTGTAAATTGGAGCGTGCTTGTTTTTCAGATGAAAATCTAGTCACGGGTTTTATTCTTGTAACGGGCAAACAACTAGAAGTTTGGATATTGTAAATTGTAAATTGGAGTGTGCTCGTTTTTAATGTTTCATGACATTAATTCGAGATGGTTAATATTTTCATCATTTTTTTCTTGTTGTTCTTTAAAACGAATGATTACGTTAACCGATAAATATCGTTACAGTTACAGAAATTGAAATTAATATGATAAAAGGTTGGTTGGTAGAACACAATCACATTAGGTGGTTTTATGGGACGATGACCATTTCGAAAGAGAAGGCTCAAGCGGTTACTTGTCCAATTACCCCCCATCAATGGTCCCCCTACCAGTACCATACCAGGGGTATTTTGGTAATATTATATATCTTTTAACATCTTTTGTTGTGGGTTACATCAATTTCTTATTAAAAATGAATATTGCTCGATTCAAATGTATGCAACGATGAATGAATAAAAAAAGGGAAACTTTATTTATGACGGATCAAATAATAATACTAAAATTAATATGTACATGTCTGAAGGCAAACTTAAACACAAGAATCATTTCCTACATAAATTAAGCCAAAGGGTGCGTGTCTGTGTGTGTGTGTGTGTGTGTTTAGATGCGAGATGAGCGATTATGGCTACTTTTCTCTTCCTTCTTATGCATTCCGAACCCAAAACACCTCCATGGTTGGATCTGCATAACCACCAAACCCATCTTAATTTTATAGCTTAATTACATTTCATAAAACAACCCAAACGGAGATAAATATACCTTCCAATGCTTTTTATGGTTTAAAGAATTGTAAATTGATTCCAATCGAACAATTATCTGTCTGAATGATGGTCTCTTGCCTGGATTCTCATGCCAACACTCCTCAATCAACCTGTTACAGAAACCACACTATTACTATATATATACATATATATATATATATATATATATATATGTGTGTGTGTGTGTATAAACATCTATTTATACATATGTATATGTTCATCCAAAAAAACCAGCAATGGACCACTATACAGACGCCTCTGCTTCCCAAAATACAGATGCTGCTTTGGCTTCGCACATCTTCACAAGATATATAGCCTTATGCCTTATGATCAAGGTTTCAGCCCCTGCTTGACTCTCAAAAAGAGACACCCKGTTTGGTCATTTTATGAATTTATAGTGTAAAACAAACCTGAGATTCTCTAGAGGGTGTTTCGGTAATTTCTAGATTAAAACTCTATATAAAACTGAACGGATATCTCGAGCTCAAAATCATGAAACAGAAGGCAATACTTTTTACAGACACTGAAACTTTTCTACAGCCTAAAAGCATCTATAATTGCCACACAGAGAATGGTAGCTAGAAATTTGCAACTCTCATGAGCTACTAAATTTAAGTTCCAAGGGTTTCAAACAAAGAAAGAGGTACAATGACATCAAAAGTCAAAATGCAATCAATAACTATGAACAATGTTCAAACTATGACACCACATTCATAGGAACCAAAATAATATGCATTGATACGAATGCAAATAACACCAAACACACACAAACTATACCTACTTTCGAGATGTACGCACTCAATTCTCTCTATTTTTTATCATTTCACTCAATTCTCAGCTTACCTTCTTCTCCCAACTCCTTATTATAGACTAAATTCTATAACGGTAATAATATAGTTGATCTATTTCCATAATATGCTCGCCTTTTATCTCTTAACCCTACTCTTCTGCCTAATATAGACCTAGGTCTAACATTACTCCTCACCCCCTAACACACCTTGTCCTCAATCGTATTCTTTTCTTCTATTTTTTGGGAGAACTTCATGACATTCCTCAAACCCCGAGGCTCAACTTGCCAAATTTCAGCTTGAACATTCGAGTCTCAAACCCTCACAAAGGTCCCCTCCAAAGCTTTATATCCCCTTTATTTATTTGACCTGCTAGTGCTTCAAAACACGGGTAATCATGCACAAACCCTTCCTCTCTAAAGCGAACAACTGTTTCAGTAACTCGCCCTCCTGTGGGTCTAAAACTCGTTCCAAAAATGGTTTCCGGAAGTCTGCCCGTGACTCAATTGGATATAAACACTCAAATGATCACACAGCACCCAGCCTCTCATCTCCCTTGACTCTGTTAACTGAGAAATATCATTCAGCTCACGCTAGCCACCCATGTGCCTCCTCACCTCCAGAACCAGCATCCCCACTTTACGCATGCAACAGCAACCCCTATGACCATTGATGCCGTTCCCATTTCTTCCTCTGTGTATCCCCAGTCATCTTGGTAGTCATTGACCAGCACGTGTCACGGCTTCGTCTAATTGCCTCTTCACATCAATTCGTCATCCTTGTTTACCCATCTATGGTTTCCAATCTCATCTTTAAATGGATGTTTACCACGTAGGACAAGACAAGATGAGACAAGAAAGTTTTGGCCTGCCTTTGGCAAACAATAGACCGGGACTAGGCGGGACAATTTTGTGAATTTTTTGTCCCACCAGATACCCCGGAACAAAGCAGAGATAAAAAACCAAAAGACAACCATATCCTATAATAGACCCTTGTCCTTCCTATAATTTGCAAAAGACATTATGTATATATTTTTTAATAAAATTGCATAAATACATATTAGTTCTGTCCACCTACCAAACGCAGCCTAAAACCCCTCCCCTTTGATTTTCAGTTTGATCACTCATTTGCCCATTTGTCCTATTTGTAGGATTCCCAACATTATTCTTTCATTGGGTTCATATTAATTGCGTCTTCCATTAGGTTCCATGTTAAATTCATTAGCCTCATTTGGCCCATGCACATACCAACCAAGAGGTCCATCATTAAGCCCTTCAAAATCATTGGGACCAAGATTATGTTGTTGGTAAGCCCAAGCCAATGAAGAAATCAGGTCTGTCATTAAACCCCATGTACCATGTAGTACCGAGCGGCCTATCCCTTATAAAGCATCTCCAACAGATCCTCCAAAATGGAGAATTTGAGATTTTGGAGTTCATCACCCTATATTTTTGCTCCACAACAGATCCATATCTGTTGAATGATATGATAAAAATCTCCAAATCTGAAAAACTCTCCAAAATTAAATGCTGAAGAGAAATGTTTTTTATTGTTCCGACCAATGAAGTTGAATGTATTATCATTTCTTATAAACTTTATTTGAAAGTTTCTTGGGATATGAAATATGTTAAGTATTTTATTGATATAATTTATGTTAAAATCTCCAAAATTAAGAAGTTGTTGGAGATGAATGTAATTTTTTTTCCTGGAAATTTTAACTTTTGCTTTTCATTTTGGAGAAATTATAGAAAACCTGTTGGAGATGCTCTGATACCCTTAGCTCCATCACTTCTCGTATCCCCTTCATGCTAACACCCATTAACACCATGCCAGTCTCCCATCGGCCAGCCCTGCAGCCTCGTTCCTCCCTATCGCCGCCCCCATGTGGTCCCCATCATCAGTCGCTGAGACCAACACACTATCTCTCCTTGTCCCATTCTCCAATTGCAAGCCTACTGCCCTTGGTTCTTGCTCGAAGCAATCGCCTAGGACCTCCTTCCCAGTGGCGACCTGTCCCAGGATTCATCGCCACCCCCTTACTTCCTTCTACTCTCTCCTACTTTCCCCATTTGTGTGTGACTCCTTGTTATAGAGTAATTCTATAATGGGAATAATATAGTTGCTATATTTCCATATTGGAAGGCTCTAAATATAGAATAGATATGATGTTATGGGACCCATTAATTTCATAAAGAAAGGCATCAACATGTTTGAATAGGAAAAGCAGCAAATGGAAGAAACAAGAAGCAGGAAAAGTAGTACATACTGTTTAAGGCCATGGGGGTAACTCCTTGAGGGAGCATTAAAAGGAGGACGTCTTTTTGCAGCATATGCTTTAGGGACATCTCTTTCATTCAATGTATGAAACGGTTGGCAGCCTTCAATCATCTTCAGCAGATCACAAGACAGAGAATTAGCCAATCAAAACTACACAATAGATCACATTATAATCTGGTACACTAACTACTTAAGCATCATATACAAAGATTTATATTCCACGGTTCGACAAAGTTGTTCCTAAATGCAGAAGTCCTTTTTCCAGTAACTTCCAAGCCTATGATCAACTAAAACTTCAACCTCATTACTCCCGAAAAATCCTCCATACCGTCAACGAGCGTGTAAAAATATGTAAAACCCCATTAGATTACTTTCCAAAAGACCCGTTGAGAAGAGAAGGGAGCTCCTAACATATATTGAGAAGAAATAGTCCAAGTTTAGCCGATGTGGGATCCAACATGCCCCCTCCAATAGAGGCTAGACAGGTACATATTGTCTAAGCGTGTGGAGCCCCTAGAGGTTAAAGTATTGGACCATGGCTGTGATACCTATAAGAATATGCGGAACCCCATTAGATTACTCTCCAAAGGAACCGTTGAGAGAATGGAGATTCCAACATTTGTTGAGGAGAAATAGTCCAAGTCTAGTCGATGTGGGACTCCAACAGTGTATGTTTATCACATCTCAAGAAAGGGTTAAAAGCCATACCTCTTGTAAAATTAGAGCAAATGAGAAAACATCAACTTTGGTATCATAGTCTTCATTTCTGAACACCTCTGGTGCAACATAGCGCCCTGTTGTGGCACATAAGAAAATTGACACACTCAAGACACAATTGATGATTTGACAATAAAAGAATTTAAAAAAAATACAATATAAAATATTATTTTCAAACCCAGGGTACGAGCACACACGCAACCAAGAAAGTTTTTTCCTAAGAGACCAAGAAAATCAGATCATAGGAGTCAATTTTGTAGATATATCTCATGCTTAAGATCTATTATTGATTCCTGCACCCCATATCCAATGTGTTGGTGATTTTAGTGCCATCAATCATTTCAGTGTGATTGTGATTTACGTGAAATTGACCTAGTGATAAGTCAATCATTAGTCAGTTAGTAGGTGTGGAGTGCACACTCGCCAATGTTACCTCTATCACCTTAGATGGCCATAATACGCCGGGGGTGTCAAGGGGGTTGCGCTCCTAGCAGGGTTCAAGGGGAAGTTTTTGGGACAATTAGGATGAACTTAATGAAGAGGTTTACTTAGGAATTTAAGTTTTGGGACAATTAGGATGGAATTTAAGAAGGTTGGAAACCTTCTTGAAGTTGCTCCTTAACTTGGCTAAAATTTGACCAAGTGTTAGGACTAGAGCCTCTGGCCCTATAATCAGAGTCTCTAAACTTGGATTTGTTTCTAAGATAGATGATCACAGCCTCTGGGCCTCCTGCCTCTGATCGTGTTTCTCTTCTGGACTCCTTGCTTCTGACTCTGAGTCAGTTATAACTACTTTCTAACCTTATCCATTAACGGTTATAACTGCTGCGCAGTTACGTTTTTAACCGTTTAACTGCTCCTTAACCTTCGATCCCTCATCTAAATATGTGAACAAGAATCTGGGTGTATATAAGATACTCGACTTTGCAGCCTTTAAAGTAAAGGTATTCAATTGGATTATCCCAATACTAAATTCGTGATACCCAAGGCAATAAGGGTTGAATTATTGTATTTGGAAAGCAAAATTTCCGTGATCCAAATGATTATCTAGTCCATGTATTATCTCCAATCACTGATTCCTAACAATATGAAGAGCAGGTAATATTCTTGTAGAGAAATGTCAGGGATGATAAGCAAGGTGAAGTATGCTTGTATGATACAACCATGCAAAGATTCCACGTCCACGAAATTTAAATCTAGTACAGATGATAACATTAATACATTAGCTTCAACACATTGTATAAACTATTTTTTTAATTTTAAACAATTTAATAAACCGAACCAAACCAGGCACAGCCCGTATGTCCCATTTGGAAGTGTAGTCGGGGTTGGGATGCAGACATATCCTCTACCCCAAAGAGTAGAGTGACATTTTAAATAATTCAATAATATCTGCAAACAACACTCACAGGTAGTGTCTTGATAGGTCATCAGCTTTTCCCGTTTGGCTGCTTTTGTCACTTTCAGCAGCTTGCTGACTCCAAAGTCTGCAACTTTCAGATGGCCAGAATCATCTCGCAAAATATTTCTGTTTTCTTACCCGCACAAGATAAGGAAGCATTATCAATTATGATGAAGATTAAGATGTCACTACTTCTCTCAGGTTATTGCTATGAGACATGCATTTCTAGACAAATAAAGAATTGAAAACTCAGAATATTCTATATAATATTAAAACTTACGAAGGTTCAAGATCCCTGTGAATGATCGGTTCTGGCTTATTCTCATGCAAATAGCTCATCCCCCTGAACGATCACCCAGAATCCAATTAGAGCATCTCAATCAGTATCTTCTTGTTGATCACAACACAGGTGTGTACTTGATATGTATGGTTGTCATGACTCATGAGGTAGAACACCACCCAAAAAAGCCAGCCCATGACCTTCAATTTTCGTGTAAAGTTTAAAAGGAACAGTACCACCAGAAAAGCATTATCCGAGATGAGGCACACCTTAGGGGCCATTTACCAAACGCTTCGGGGTAAGCGCTTACCAGGAAGAGAAATTACCCTAACTTGCCTTATCATGTAACAGTCTTGGTCATCAAAATGGATTGTTGGTAAGCGTCTTAAACCATGTAGTCTTTTTCCTCACTTACCGGGTAAGACTCTCGGTCCTTGTTATGCCTCTTACCGGGTAAGATTCTTGGTCCTTGTCATGCTCAATCAGTAAGGTAGGTAATATCAGTAAGCGCTTACCCAGTAAGCATTTAGTAAATGGCCTTAGTTTGTTTAGATGTTATATTTTTAAACCTAACAATTACAAGTTGTGCATGCAATTTCCATTGTCGTTTCAAAGAACAACCATAGATACATCGTGTGTACTAGTATTGAATCATTTGCATTTTCAAGAAAATGACATCAAAAATCAGCATCTCCGGATCTCAAATTTCATTGTGAAATGGCTACCTCACATGATAGCAGAAGCACATAAAAAGAAAAAATCTAATATAAACAATCAGTGCTAAAATCTAAATCATTGTCACCAGAAGGTATAGAATGAAAAGTGAAACAGTAAGGAGGCTACCATGTTATTTACAGCGAGTTAACACTTATGAATGGCACTGCAATATGGTTATTCTGATATAACTAACACAAGCATACAAATGGTTCAACAAGTTGACTGAAAAACAATTTCTTAGCGAGTTTTATCGTTTTCAATAAGCCATATACATATAAAAATTAGTGAAATTACTTTTTGAACTTCTAGTACCTGGAGATCAAACAAGATGAGTAAAGTGAGTCATGTAGCCTGACTCATGTGGAACAGATGATTGACACAAGGTAAAAGAAATTTTGTAACAGCCTTCTTTTCTGCATGCATTTTATTTTCTAGCTCTGTGTTAACACCAAAAATGCACAAAGAAACTTTCATTTGCAGGCATAATGCATTTTTGTTATAGCCTCCAAAGATGGAGGTAGAGATACATATCTATCCCCAGCAACAATGTTACATTGACCCATATAAGATAAAGTTTTTAGTCATGCACGCTTGCGTTGTTATCTACTTAGAGTTTGAACTCCCCATTGGATAACAAGAACCTCTAGTGTTTTTACTCTTAACATATGACTGGAAAATTTTATATGGTAAGGTTTTATTATGCCACAATATACAATCACGTTCTCTTCCAAAATCACTGTTGACAAATAAGACAATGTTCAACAGACCAATAAGTGGGAACAGCTACAAGAACACTTGTATTAATATGGAGTATTGGAATTCATAAAGAAAAATGTGTTCCAAAAACATATGGCCAATCTTGTATGAGTACATTATGGCTAAGGCTTAAACTTTTTGGCGTAGATACCATGAATACAACCATATAGCAATTAGGATCCAACTTCATTAGATGAGCAGGACAAGGACTTGTATCTCCAACCCCTATAGTACTTTTAAACCATAAAGAATTAAATCACATTCAGTTCATACTAATAAATCAAATGTATAATCAACATAGGATTGAGAAGAGAAACAAGAAAATTTAATCAGCATCACTTTTCAGCAAATATGGAAATGCCAAGTACCTTGCAATATCCATTGCATACTTTAAAGTGGTTTTTGGCTTTAGTGCTCCTTTTCTTTTCAAATATGCCCCAAGATCACCCTGAAATATAGCATAAATTTAAAGTAGATTAGGCCAATAGGCATGTAGCTTACAACTAGCATAATCAAGCTCCACAACCAGTTCAAGGCACAAATAAAGTGACTACTTTAGCTTCTAATTGAATGAAATGGAACACCTCCAGAAAAGAGTTTAGGACAATGTTAAAGTAACAAGGAAGCTATAGGAAAAAGCCAAGAACTAACGGCCACGGTTTTATAATAAATAAAGGAAGCCAAACCTTAGGTAAATATTCTATCACAATCATCATTGGACTACTTTGAGTTACAGCACCTAGAAATTGAACCACATTCGGGTGTCGTATCTTTTGAAGCAATTCAAGCTCATCCCTAAAAGCACTCCTGCACAAAACCCGAAAATCAAAAAGAGCGTAAACAATTTTAACAGGGAAAGCACACAATAACGTGTCGTTGGCTTATAAACGACTCACACTTTGTCCTCATCAGTAAAAAGTTCATCCCCAAGCTTTTTAACAGCAACTTGTGTTCCACGCCATGAAGCCATGGCAAAGGTTCCCTGGTAAAGTTAAACATTAATAAACCAGAAAAAACTATATTGTATGAAAGATGAAAATCACCACAAAAATGAGATCAAATCAATTCTACCAAACATAACATTGGAAATAGAATGAAACGTCCAAGTTCAGATACTCCATTGAAAATAAGGTTCAAAAGTAATGGTTCAACTGCACTTTACTTCACTTTCAAATGAAACATTATGTCACCTCATTTTTCAAGAAAAACTTCAACATGTTTTATTTCCTGGTAAATGCCATCAACAATGCCCAGAAGTAAAACATGTGTATGATCTATGCTGTTAATTGCGGCACTATTGCACTACAATAACGGATTGCGGACTAAGGTAAAATTGTGGTGGTCAAACTGCGGTGAAAATTGCGTTTCTGATATTAGCGGCGCAATTGACCGATATTTAAGGTGAAATTGCGGACCCATATTCCGATAT